AGGTCCATGGCCAGGCCTGGCTGTGGCCATGGCTGTAGCTGGAGACTGCTACACCCATAGCAGAGTTCAAACCAGGACTGAAAACTCAGGTGTGGGGCTCCTGGGCTCCTGGTGCAGGAAGGTGGAGAATGGAGGGTGAGAGTGGAGGTGGTGGGGTGGGCATGGGTACCCTCAGTCCCTGACACTCGCCACTAATAGCTTTGCTGTCACCACTGCCCTGAAGAGGTCGAAGTCCTCCCCTCTGAGACCTGGCATGTGCACTCTGCTGCTCTCCTTGCTCACACCCCGTGGGATCTGAGACCTCACAATTTCATGGGAACTGCAGCCAAGGCTGAAATTGGTTTTCACATTCCACCTGCTTTGCCCTGATTTCAACTATGAGATCCAGGTGAGCATCACGTCTGTTGGCACATGTGCCAGAGGTGCTATGAAACTGACCCCAAGAACCCCCAGAAGCCTCTGGGTCTGTTTACACCCTGCAGTGTCTGCTTCCCATGAGTGTCAGGCTGATTAAAGTCCTCAGGAGTGATGAGGGTTCATTGAACTGGAACTGATAAAATATGACTTAGTCCTCTTATTCGTTTGGCTCCAGGTCTCTGTCTCCTACCATGATGTCTCCCTAACCAGACTGTCCTCTGACCCTCACCCTAAAGGGCTCATCCAGTCTGCAGCCCAGACCACAGAGGATCTCCATTCATCCAGGCAGCTCCCACACTGAAGGGCATCCCCCTCCTGGTCTTCCCCAGCTGTCTCCTCTGAAGAGTCTGTATCCATCCATCACAGCACCTCAAGCTTTCTGACTGGTCCTACACACCGCAGCAGGTATTACATCAATGTCACAGCTCTGTGACAGCACACGGGGCTCCAGCTCCTCCTGTCTGTGCTCCAGCATGAGGGCATTGATGCACATTGGTGCTGCAGCACCTCAGCTGTGGCACAAACGCTGAGCTCCAACTTGTCACAGATCTTGCATCCAGGATCCTGTGCAAGAAAACACTTTGCTTTGGAGCAGAGATCTGCTGGAGTGGATGGCAGATGGCAATGTAAGGATGAAATGAGGACACCACAAGGTGAGCAAACCCTGTGGCAACAAAGGCAAGAGAGAAGCAGGGCTGGCCTTTGCAGCCCTATGACAAGAGAGCGCTTTGTTGCCTGTGGGGTCTCTGCAGTCCATGAGGACCTCTGATGGAGGTCACGCTGATCTCCAGGAAGGACAAGGTGCTGCTTGGAAATTCCTTGGCTATGGACATTGTGTGATCCAGGTACACTGTGGAAATCATTTACTTGCTGCTTGACTTTATAATTAAGGAGGTAAAGAAAGAATGGGGGTATAAAGAATCAGTAGCATTTGAAAAGAGTGACACACAAGTGGAGACCCTGCTGTGGTGTCCATCATGTACATGCACTGCCTGCATCTACACGATAGACATGAGACAGACCATGTCTCACTGCAGTGGTGGCATTTGGTCACGTGCTCATGCACAACAAACCTGTCTGAGATGCTCTGAGGTGTCTGGTATGCACCAGCTTGGGATGGGAATAGCTGTACTGCACTGCCCAGCCAGCTGTACGCTCTGGTTGTGCTGGGCAGCTTTGGCATCTGAGGTAGCTCAGCAGGCCTGCATTTGGCCTTTAAGTGGAGCAGCTGTCCTTGATGAGTTTAGGCAATGTAGGATTGTCCATGGGAAGACGTCAATGACTCTTGGGGGAGATGTAGGGATCTGATGGTGAAGAGAAAGACAGAGGGAGCTCCTCCTGTGGCACATGGCTCCATTTGGTCAGAGGAATAAACCTGATGAAATTCAACAAGGGCAAGTTCAGGATCCTGCGTGGAGGAAGCAGGGTGATAAGCAGGATCACAACCTTGGACCTCAGGAGGGCTAACTTTGCCCTCTTCAAGGAGCTACTGGGAGGAATCCCTTGGGCCATCCAAGAGCGCTGGTCGCTCTTTAATCATCACTTCCTCCATGATCAGGAGCGGTGCATCCCCCTGAGAAAGAAATCAAGAAAAGGAGGCAGGAGACCTGCATGGTTAAACAAGGAGCTTCTAGCGGAGATCAGGTGGAAGAGAAAGGTCCATGGAATGTGGAAAGAGGCGAAGGCCACTTGGGAAGAGTACAGGAATGTGGTCAGAGCGTGCAGGGATGCGACGAGGAAGGCCAAAGCCCACCTGGAATTGAAGCTGGCAAGGGATGTCAAAAACAACAAGAAGGGCTTCTTCAACTACATCAGCAGCAAAAGGAAGGCTAGGGACAATGTGGGGCCGCTGCTGAATGAGGCGCGTGTCCTGGTGACGGAGGATGCGGAGAAGGCAGAGCTCCTAAATGCCTTCTTTGCTTCAGTCTTCAGTGCCAAGACAGA